TCGAGCTGAGACCCCTCAAAGGCACGTTGTCCATCCTTGTTCTATGAGTTGCGCAAACTTCAGCGCGGTAGGTGCAACGGTGTGACCTGTAACCCGCGCTACGTAGCACCATGTCGCGACCTCGGTAACAGACAGAAACTACGTCACCACAAATAGTAATATAGACTAGGGTGACCCGCGTGCTCCGCAACGCGAAAAGGGGGTATTTACGATCGGCGGGTGTTTGGTTGTTCTTGTGTCGGTTGGGTTATCTATCCATTTCGGTCGATTGTTTTTTGATGGCTAAACGTTTTGGTTTGGAAAAAAGATATCCATCGGATCGAGGTGCCTGTGTCTGATAAGCATGCTTTCTACTTCAGAACCTGTCAATAGTTCAGTGAACCTGTCAAATGTGTTTTATAATTCAGGTGCGTAGTTTTTTGACAAATGAAAGGCGTAGATAATTTTCGCTAAAAATGGATTTGCAGAGGTTTGAAACATTTATATTTTTAAGAATACTGTTGCTTGTCATGCAAACGTGATGATTGGATCTTGGAGAGAATTGAATGCTCTTTCTAATGATAGCATTTTCAATTGTCAAGCGTATCAGGTTAAGCAGCAAATCCCGTGTATCTTTTTAGTGGCACATTATGGACAAATACCATTTTAATTCAGCGATTTTTCCACATTGTTTTTGATCAATTAGCTGTCCACAATTTTTCCATGAGAGGCGGTACATTTCTCTTGGCAATTGACGTTGTTTCAACTCTCTCAGTCTGATGGTCACGGGAAAATAAAATAAAATCCAAAATCCGTTTAAAATGGCACTTTTTGAAATGAAATTGCCCTCACACTTCCACGTGGCGCGTGCCACCCCTGCACCGCACACTATTCGATTGCCCGTTCGATTCTCTACACGATGCTGTTTTCCCCGTGCCGATCGGGCGCACGGCTACCGAGATATTGCACGGGGAACGGACCCGTGTCGGGCAAATTTAGCCATTTTCGCCCGTTTTTGCCAGCCGATTTATACATGTAAAGTCTATGACGCGAATTTGCACTTTTTGGGCACGCGCCACGCGCTCGCTATCGATCCGATCGAGCCGAGACCGCTCAAAGGCACGTTGTCCATCCTTGTTCTATAACTTGCGCAAATTTCAGCGCGGTAGGTGCAACGGTGTGATCTGTAACCCGCGCTACGTAGCACCATGTCGCGACCTTCGTAATAGACAGAAACTACGCCCTCCTCAAATAGTAATATAGATTTGACTTTCAATGACCTCTGGTAATCTGACCTTTGACCTGACCTAAAATATGGATGAAATGTTATCTTCATTATTTTTGACGCTCTTTCGAACGTCGTTTACCGCGTGTCGCTACATGGCCCAGGAGCCGAGTAAGATGGGTGGTGTTCACTGTTCAACCCCCTCCCCCCCCCCCCACCCCTGGCCCAGCGCGGTTGGCGCCGAGCACCGGCCCGGCGCATTAAGATAAAAAAGTGTGGAATTAATCACAAAAGGATACAGTCCAATCCATCCGAAGCAAATATTTTAGGCAAAGATGGTGTTTTTCCTTTTTTCTTCCTTTTGTTCATCTTCATCAGCGTTGACAAATGCTTTATTTGCTTCTCCTCAGCTTTATTAGCCTCTCGAAGTTGTGCATTTCTTGCCTTTCTTTCAGACACTTTTCTCTTTTCTGCTAGGATTTTCGACTTTTCTGATGCTTCACGAATCTTTTCGACGAGGCTTTTTTCTTGCGGGTGAATTTTTGATGGCATCTCGTCATCCGAAAGTGATTCGTCGTCTTTCTGCGGATGTCTTGGAATGTCTCCAAACATATTGTCTTTTGGCTCTTTGGGTATTTTAGAAGGATGAAGAGGAGCCACTTTCTTGAAACGCTTGAAGTAATGTTCATTCTTTTTCACTTTCTTTTGGATTCTCTGTTCTTTGCGTTTCTCTTTTCTAGTCTTCTTCTTTGACCCAGATACTCCTATTTTCTTTTTACCCATGGTTCAGGTTTTTAAACAAATACAACTCTTAAGTCAGCAGTCTCATAAGACAAACTGTATCTATCACTCCACCATTCTGTAATGAAAACAAAAGGTCAGAAAATGTCTTCAGTTCAGATAAATTTCATGAAGTTCAAATTTAAATATGAAGCTTAACCCTTGCCTTGCATAAGTCCCTTCTTGCAGTTTTGAATGTGTTTCATATTTTAGAATTTTATGTGGCTTTTGTGATGGCAAACTCACATTCAAGATCAAGGAATCAGGAACTGTGGAAGAAATAACCCACAGTACAAATAACAACAAATATGTCAAATATAGATGTCAATCTGACTTAATGAGGTCCTTAAGATAAATCAGCAAACCAACTTTAAAGTTTCCCAGCTCTTCAGGATAACCCAACAAAAGACCAACAGCTAATATTATGGGAGATCACATCAAAATTGGAGGCAACTTAGCCAACTTATGAGAATACTTATGAGGATAAACTAAAATCAGCACACAAAACATCACACTGTTGTCCACCAAAACGCATCTGAGGAAAAAGATCTCAAACTGATCACTTGCGGCAGGAGGAACTGTCATATCAGGCTATCTGGATCCATTAGACATGTTGTCTCCATTTGTACTGATGACTGAGCAGCAGTGCTGGAAATGAGGCCGCTTTCTGGTCCCGGCGTTTTATTCTCCGGGTGGGTTAGCCCCGTCTAGCACTTAGCCTTTCGGGACCCTCTCTGAGCCGCGGTTGTTTTCGCCGCTCAGCCCATTCGAGATGCCAAGTTGATAGTCACACGAAGTTTATTTGGGGCCTTTGAATATACGAATTCGAAATTAATCGAGTCTACAAAAACTTTTTCTTTCATGTATATGCATATATTTAACAGTAACTCCAGACCAGGCTGGCTTGGCTCAGTCGGGGAAACTATGGTAAAATCTGCTATTTTTAGCAGAAATCTGCTAAAAATGGGTACGCATGTGACGTCATCGTACCCAAATATAGCAGATTTGGGTACGGCCCCCGACAAAAGCAGATCTGCACCCTAATTGAAGCAAATGCGCATCAAATGCCTGGCAGATTCATGATAAGAATAGTGCTGAGAATGTCCTCTGATATTTTTGTTCAGATCCGACTATTTTCAAATAATGAATTTGAAAATAGTCGGATCTGAACAAAAATAGCAGAGAACACTCTCAGCACTATTCTCATCATGAATCTGCCAGGCATTTGATGCGCATTTGCTTCAATTAGGGTGCAGATATGCTTTTGTATGGGGCCGTACCCAAATCTGCTATATTTGGGTATGATGACGTCACATGCGTACCCATTTTTAGCAGATTTCTGCTAAAAATAGCAGACTGCTAAAAATAGCAGATTTTACCATAGTTTCCCCGACTGGGCTGGCCCTAAATATGCTTTGTGTAACTATTAATTTTGCATCTCGACTGGGGCGAGCGGCGAAAACAAACGCGACCCTGAGTGGGTCCCGAAAGGCTAAACGCTGGACAGGATTAACCCGCCCGGAGAATAAAACGCCAGGACCAGAAGGCGGCCTCATTTCCAGCACTGAGCTCAGGACACATTCCTTGGTTTATCCATCTTTTCCACTGCATCATTGATATTCCCTCTTTTGGTTAGCTGTACTTTGCTGATTACATAAAATAATCCACTCTCCATATTCATTTTAATTAAGGCAATTTAAGTCAAACTGATTGAATTTAGGAACCCAACTGACATAGTTATTTCATCCCCAAAGTCAATGAAGAACTCAATCACACACTGTCACTAAAGTGGTTCAAGCTGCACACAACCTTTGTGCAGGCTTCACTGTCATGAGACGCAGGCTTCAGTTCACATAGGTAGCTGACGACGAAACCTTTTTACAACACTATCAGCGGTTGAAAGATCAATCATGATGCAAAACGTGATGTAAGCTGAAAACCAAATGATTCATTTATTATAACAATTCAAGTTAAAATGTTACACACACCCAACTATGACTAATCACAGAAAATAAATGTAATCTGAATCTAGCAATTCAAATTAAAATCTCAAGCCCGATGTCCAGAGATATGGGGCCTGTTCCAGCGCCTCCAGTAGAAATTCTTGACTGGAGGCTCTACCAGAGGTTTTACTGGAGGCGCTGGAACGCAATCTGGAGATTTCTGGAGGTTGGCGTCATAGATACCAAAAGAATGACAATTGTTCTCTCTTGATACGCAAAATTTGTTTTCAATTTTATTAAAAAAGATTAACAAAATTATAGCAATGTAATTTTCTTTACATTCAAGTTGTAAAACTCTCAGTCAAAAGTTCTTTGTTTACATTCGTGATTGTCACATGTGTGCCATAATTGTAGACCAGAGCCTCCAGAGAAATTTGGACCTCCCAACTCTCTGGAGGCTACTGGAGGTTTCTGGAGCTTTGGGGAGAGCTTTCTGGAGCTTTCTGGAGGCGCTGGAACGCTCTCTGGAGGATTCTAGAGCTTTCTGGAGGTTTCTGGAGGTTTCTGGAGGCGCTGGAACAGGCCCATGGCCTAAGGGATTGATGTGTTCTAGTTTCTAAACTACATTATTAAGGATCTCTTCACTCCAATCACCTTATTTTAAAAGTGATATAACATCACTAACATCAAATATAAATATCAATATTGATATAAGGCGTGCAATTCAAATTCGCTCACCAATGCAAACTTTTCCAGACATGTGTAGTGTCACACAGTCACCGGAAATGTATCAAAGCCCGTCTTCCATATCTGCCCCAGTGCTGCCAAATCAGGGAAAAGTTTGCAAGCGAATTTTTCGAAGACCTTTCTCTTGCATTGGCGCCTTTTATCATCAGTTTTTTTTTCCGAATTTCGGAGAACTTCAGTGTAATGTGTAGAACTCCGATCTGAAGCCATTCACCAAACAACTATCGAAATCCGACAGCATAAGCACCTACAGTACGTCGGCTTGTAAGGTAACGCTCCCAGGTCAGGTCAGTCAGGTTCACTTCACTGGGGATTGAAACATGAAACCGGTAACGATTCAATGTTTATTCAAAACAAAACTTAAATGTTATACTAAAAGCAGCGAGCAGCATCGATAACGAACATGCACAAGAACAAATATTCACCGCGTGCTGAAAAGCAGGACCGCAACACAGCGACTGCCATCTGCCGGCGCCGGACCGAACCACAGATTCCCACCTCTGCCGCATGGACCTCCCGTATCACAATGAGCGTCCCGACGAAGCTTTCTTGCGCTTACAAAAACCGACTGAGTATCTTGTACTGTACGCTAGCTGCGCAATACACCGGACAGGGGAAAAGGAGCGGCCGCGGCCGCCCCTCCGCAATATACCGGACAGGGGACGAGGAGCGGCCGCCGCCGTCCCGCCGAGACCGAACTGAACCGAGACTGGCGGCGCGGCGCGGCGGACTCCCGAGCTGCGGGCGCCCGCGCGACCGGCCGAGACAGAACAAAAAGATATTGTACGACACCAATTTCGCTGTGTGTATGTGTGTAGTATGTGGGCGCGTGTGTGGCGGCGCGACTCTGGGCCGAGCGATCACACACGCGCGCGCACTCGGTTGGCAGCTTCGGTAGGCAGTGGCAGCTCCGCACAGCGCGGAGGCGTCTACAATTAACAAGAAACCGAGCATCACGTGCCATCAGGTACTATCGGGCGGGCGGCGGCGGCCCGGCGCGCGCGGCGCCGCCCGCCCAGCCGCGCGCCGCTCTACAGAATACCACCGAGCCAGCGCGCACACCCCCAAAGAGATTTGACACGACACGGCGCGGAGAGCGCGCGCGGGCGCACAGACGGCGGCGGCGGAGCCGGCCGGCCGCGGCCGCAGCGGCCACTGAAACGGGAAGAAGCAGCGAACGCCACGACAGCTGAGAGAGCACACGGACGCGCCCCCGCTCTACTGATCTGTCGGTAGCTTTGTTAATGAGGTAAAATTCAGGTAGTGTTACGGCGGGTATCATCAGTTGACTCCCCATCACAAAAATGTGGCGCGGCCGGCGGCGGGCCGCCACTAACACAGACGACGGCGGCGCGCGGCGCGCGGCGCAGCCCTCCACAGAACATCCACAGCCGGAGGGCGGCCGGCGCACGCGGCGCGGCGCGGCGCGGCGCGGCGCCAGGCGCCCCAAAACCCGGCGCTGGCGGCGCCAGCCAGCGCCGGCACAAATCACCCGCTACGCTCGCTCTCTCTCTCCCTCTCTCGCTCGCGCTCTCGTTCTCTCGCTCTGCCCGAGGCTGCAGTTCGGCGGTCAGCTCCCTTGGGAAGCGACCGCGGCCCGTATCACGCATCCAGGCGGCGACGGCAGCGCCGCCTATAGCCGCGACGGTGGCGCCGCCGGCGGCGGAATGCGGCGCTATTCGCCGACGGTGCTGACGGGAGTTGAGCCGGCCTGCGGCGAGGTGCGGCGGCTGCAGTCCAGGACGGCCGTCTTCTCGTCGTTGGCATCCTGGCGGCAAAACGGACACGGTCAGCGACGTCAGGCCGACGGAAGCTGAGGGAGCCGGGGCACGGCCATCGCCACACACGAGCACACAACAATTGTACACAAACACAGCCGAAACTTGAAGTTGGAAACCATATTGGCTGCTTGCATTGATGAACGGAATAATCGGACCAGCCAGATCCAAAGCGCCTGTCCTACAGCGTTGAAAATCGTCTGCATGAAAACGTCCAACGTAAAAAGTGCCCTACACTGTTCACTCGCACTTTTCGATGGGAACGGCTCTATATATCGACCGTCGCAGGCTGACTGCCATGGATCGTGCTGTGCCGACCGGCGCGGCGGTCCGGTGAGGTGGGTTTTCCCGGCGCCGGAGGCTGGCACTGATCGCCTGTGCCGCCGTCGGAGCCGCCGAGGCAAACAGGAAGCATAGACGTAATAGCCGGCACCCGATTGGACAGTTAGGGTTCGAAATATTGATGGCCGGCAATCGCGAGACTATTCAAATAGGGAATTTTTAATTTCGGTTCCGGAGGGCCTGGTAACACCTCAGTTCGCAATTCCACCTTTCCACTTCCCACAGTTTGCCTCAATGTCTGAAACAGTCGCGATTCCCCGCGCTAACGCCTGGAAACTAACTCTGGGGACGGCGCGCCGTGCCGTGCTGGACGCAGTTAGAAAAGCCGTCCCCGACCACCGCTCGGCAGAGTTCGTGGAATTCCTGCAGAGCGCGATCAGCCGGCCGAGTTTCCTTGCCGTCACCCCATTGGCTGTGTCTTTCCATAGCCGTCGGTCGGGCCGACGCCACGCCGATGACGACACCGACCGAATTCGTTCCGAGAACGACGCCGCTTCAGGAACCCATAACCGTACCGACTGTCATAATGGTCATTCTACACTGGAAGCACTAACATTCAAATGAGGCCCAGCCGGTGAAGTCGGAACAAATGGCGTCGACTAACGGCGCACTGTCGTGCTGGGACACCGCAAATTTGACCAAATTGCACCCGTAATGCGTCCGCCCACCGTCCGGCAATTAAAATATCGCGTGATTTTAAAGCACCTTTAATGAGACGCTTCACGCCTGGAAATACGAAATAACGCGTCCACTGGGCGGCTCCCACCGAGTGATTACTATGATTGCCGGCTGTGATCATTATCTCATTTTTGTAACCGGACTACGGTACCGAGCCAAACGAGCTCCAATGACAATCGGCGCCGTGCCGGCTCACACGCCTGTGGCTGCAGTAATGGGGACAGAGTGGCCATCCATTCCCAAACGGCACACGGCCTGCTCAGCGTGGAACAACAGGCCGTTGCATACGGCAGCGTGTTATGGAGTCGGGCTGTGACACATGCTTCATACAAACGCTGATCACATGACAGGACGTATCACAAACCCATTTTGATAACCTATCCGAAGCTACTGCTCTCTATAGCCATATTAACCCCAGTCCCCTCCCTTTCCCTCCCATCCAGTAACCTGCAGGTGACCTCTACTGACCTCGACCTCTGTGCGCGCCTGTCTGGCGGCGGCGTCCTTCTGTTGGGTGACCATCAGGTCCCGCAGGTGGGCCGTCCGCTCCTCCAGAAGGGTCTGTAACAGGACACACCATCAACCGTCTGAGGTCACAGGTCACACTAGGCCATGGGGCGAGCACAGTCGTGACCTCAAGGTAGCTGTTGGTAAGTAACGGTTTGTTTGGTAAGTGGTATTTGTGTTCCTCGTCACCTACCACTCAGTCAATCAGAGGATAAATTCCCAGGGGCGTCGTACAGTGTTTTCCGTGGCCTCGCTCTGGGACATCAAAATCTCGTAAAAATCGTCTCCTACTCTCGAGAGCGTAGCCCGGTAGCTGAGCCATCCCAAAAACAGCTCTAAACTCGGCTGGGGCGGCATTTTTCCGATGGCTGGCCTCCATTACTGGCTATCTCGTCTCTCATCTGCTCTTTACGAGGCACCCGTCTCCTGGGACGGTATTCGGGTGTCCACCGAGCGGGTGCTCTCAGACGGCCCCAGAGGGACGGTCCGCCAACTGCAGAGACGGTGTCCATCCCCGACCCTGACACGGTGCGACACTCCGGGAATGGCCGCACGGGAGCACCACAGGATATCAGGAGTATCAGAGGATGTGGGGCACCACAGGATATCAGGAGAGTCCCACCGTGACACCCGGCCCCGGGAGTATATTTCAGACACCCAAGGGTTCCAGATACCCAGGAATGAGCCCTAGACATACAGGGACACTCAAGGGCGTCCCCATACTACCGAGCCGGAGCCCCCAGGACCGACATCGGGACCTCACACTGTAAGTGATCATTCACATTCATTCGCTCATCAAGACATCATCCACACCGTCTCTCTGTGGTGCGGCACTGACCGTTTTCTGTTTGTTCTCTGCTCTCAGCCGGGTGACGGCGTCTGCCAGAGCTCGCACGGTGTCCACCACAGAGACCCGGTCGCCGGCCGGCAGCGGTCCCACCAGCGCGCTGACCCGCGCCACCGCCGAGTCAAGGTTGGACAGGAGCTCGGCAGCGTCGCTGTCCGCCGCCCGCGCCTGGAGGGAGAAGGGGTAGGGTGAGAGGTCAGAGCACATGTGCGACGCGGAGGTCACAGGCATACGCTCACAGACACACACACAGATACAGAGTGTTGGCTAGGTTACTGGAACTAGCATCGTCGGTACAAATCAAAGGTCATGCTCATGGCGTGGGGTCAAAGTGAGGGTATGCTCGAGGGATGTGTGTTCAGTGGCAGAGCGTCACAAAGTCTGTGTGTAATGCAGGGTCGCCCGAGCCGTTGTCAGCTCAGCTGGTTACTAGTCAAGCTAATCTGATGTCACCTTTCATCATCTAAACCCCTCGGCAGTGCACACAAAGTTAATGACCACAGCGGATGGTATCGCTCACTGTTTGTTTACCGGTCCGTGTATTTACAGCCCTAGCCCGTCCTCTGGTGTCAATGGCCGCACCCCGGCGCGGCCCCGACATTCCCACCGTCTCACCATTCACACATATTGATCCGAGCGACAGCAACTTGTCAGCCGGCGCGGCGGCGATGCGAGAAAATAAACAACGGAAAGCTGCAGCCTGCAGAGCTCGCCAGTTCGCGGAATCGAGGTCAGGGCCGCGCCGCGTCCCGGCACCACTCCTGGACAGATCGATTGAAGCCTTGTGAAGCTGCCACAGCTCCTGTGGGGGTCACGTGACCGTGCGCGGCGCAAGCCCCGCCCCGGGCTGCACTTCCGACCCGACAGCTCGCCTCTGAAAGCTCGCCTCGGGGCTTGCTAGCGTCGTGCCGCTACTAGGAAATGATTTGCATTCGGGATTGGACTGGATTCAGGCAAATCGGGCGCTCTTTGAGCTCGAGATTAGTATTCGAAATCGTATCAGAGTGAAATAAATTAAATTCGTTCGGGAGTTATTCGAGCTACGTCGCTGGTTGATGTGTGCGACTGACGGACGTACCTTGGGGGCAGCGGTGGCGGCGGCCGGCGGCGGCGCAGCGGGCTCCGAGGTGGGCGGCGACTTGTGCGGGGCCAGCGCCACATTGGGCTGGAAGTGTCGCTCGTGCTGCTTGGCGTCCTCGTTCTTGACGACCCGGTCCGGATGCAGCAGCACCGGCGGGTCGTGCGACAGGAACGAGCGGCTGTCGGCGGAGACGGGGGGCGGTCAGAGACGACACGGTGCATCGGCGGGCAAACGACAGAGGCGGAGAGACGGTCAGCGACGAAGCATCAACACTCAACACTGCAACCAGTTGCACCGGGGAGAAACAAACGCGACATTACAGGCACCAAATCACCGTTCGCATACATTGGAGTGACATCAGCGCACAGACCGGTGAGACAGCGCCGGACAGTGGACAGCGGCTATGACGTGATAGAGATCTGCGACCCGGTAAATATCCCACCCGACTCTGGAGTCTGGCACAACTCTGCCAGACGCATAGATTTCAGCCTACAGCAGCCGAGCGGCCGACGCAGACAGACAACAGACGGCCGACGGACGCCCGTTTCCAGCACCGCGCAGCAGCCAGCAAACGCCTCACACTATAGACGATGGATGGCAAACGCCTCACGTATAGACGATGGACGATACAGAGCGGAAGGAAGACAACTGGAAGACAAATGATGCTGTCCGACGGTCACCAGTTCACAAACAGCTCAATCACGAGTCCGCAACAGTCAGCGGCGGCGGACAGTGGCTCTCGAAAACAGCCGTCCACAGCGCCGGCAGAACAGAGCGGTCATTCACGGTGTTATCCTCGGTGACGCCGTCAAACGTGACGTCACCAGTGATTGACCCTGCGTGGGTGAGGAGCACAAGAGAGGTGCGCGGACATTCGACAAGGAAGGCACAGAAAATTCGAACAGAAGAAAGTTCGGTTCGGTCACTGGGAAGCCTTTTCTATTCGAGCGTTCGTGCGATTTCTCAAAGGCCGATATTTCCCGACATCCATCTGACATCTCAAAGGCTGCCATCCGACATAGTTTGGGGAGAAGGCCGGTGCAGCCGCACCCGCCGCTGCCCGGTCCGGCGTCCCGTCCAATAATCATCGCCATCCGTCTGCCCATCCTCGGCGCCATCAATCTCGGCGGATCGGCCGGGCGTCCGTAGTTCCTGGAACGACCGGGTGGGCGCCGGCGCCCCGAATCCGGCGCCCGGCCGCCGGAACTGGCTGTATTTTAAACAGCTCAGCCTCCGCCCGTGCCCGGGCCGCTCGTCTTTCAGCGCCGCAGCGAGCCTCAAGGGCCCCGGACGCGGACCATTAGCAGGGGACGCTCCGAGCCTCGGTGGCTTCTTTCCCTCAATAGTAGTCGGCGGGCTTCCTTCTGCGACCCCGAGACGGATTCACATCGTTTGGAAGCCGCCGGGACTCCTCTCGGCCAGAGCCAAAGGCCGGCCGGAGTCGTCCGGTCGCCGGTCGTCGACCAGCTGCGGCCCACCTGGCCAGCCTTTTTCAGCCCGTCGGTGGCGGCGGACGCTCCCAGCTGCACCGCACTGGGCACGCGTTCAATGGCGGCCGGCTGGCGGCGGCGGCAGCGGCCCAATCTGTTCTCAGAACTGGCGACGGCTGACCATAATAGCCCGTCGGGTGGCCGCCAACGACCGGCAGCGGAGCCACAGCGGCCGCCGCTCCGTCTCCGGCGGCTCGGCACAGACGGGCCCGACGGCCGGTGCGTGGGCCGCGGACGCCACCAGAGCGACCCGTCGCTGGCAACGCACCCGTCCGCGGCAGCGACCGGGCGGGCCGAGCAGTGGCAGCCGCCACCAGGCGGTCCCGTGAGCGCCCGCCCGCTGACACGGCGCGCTGACGGCCCCAGACGCCCGTCAGCCGCCGGCACGCCAGGCACCTCCAGTAGTGACGTCATCACTGACAGACGCGTGACGGCCTGTGACGGGCCGTGACGGGCCGTAGAGGAGCCGCCCGTCGGCTACAGCGGGCGCCGACTTCAGTCGAAACAAAGCGGGTCGCTCTAACGCAAAAACCACATCTGGCTCGCGACGCGAGGTTCTCTGAACCCTCACATGGCAGCCATCAGCCAACAGTCATCCATCCCGCCTTTCAGTCCCCTGAGGCCAAAAATCATCTCAGAACCCTCTCCCAGACCTACCCCACTCGCTACCCGATGAAAGCTGGTCCCTCAGCCCGGCGGCATCACCACAGTGCAGAGCCGGCGCTGCGGTCCAGGCAGCCCGTCGCCCCTCCCCGGCCCCAGCGCCGCCTCCCGGCGCCTCCCACGGCGCTCCCAAAGCCATCAGCGGCCGCCCGGGGGCGCGTCGTTTGCAGACCGCCGAGGGAGTCCGTTCGTGGAATGCGCCCGTCGCCGGCGGCGCGGCTCGCCAATGAATGGCGCCGGGCCGCCCGGCCGCGCCCCCAGTGCCGACGGCGTCCCAGACTCCGTGCAAACGGCGCTGACTGGTCCTCTGCTGGAGCGTGTCGACTCTGATCGGGCCATTCCAGCAGCCAGGACGGCGGGTTCAGGCTGAGCATATCTTACAGCACAATATATAGTGTTGAGAATGCGAGCTTTCACTGAAGTCGGCCAGATTTTGATGGTGGATAACCTCATCAACTATCAAGTCCCATTTCCTTGAGCATGTGTATACCACCGTCCACCACAAAGAGTTTGTCTCCATGCCTGGTTGGTGCAGCGGCATTCACTATACAGTTGGACCCCTCCCGACTCCAGCTGATGCGACGAGGCCTCATCATCGCCCACCACCGCAATACAGCCACACCTCCCCGCACGTCACCGAGGCGGCCTCTCGGCTAACGTCACCGTCACGTCAGGTCATCGCCACATCAGCTGGCATCAGGTGCGTCACGTCACTCGTGGCTACCGTCCTGCGTCAAACCAGCCAAACGGACAGAAAGAAAGGCCGCGAGCAGCGCGGAAAGGAAAGAAAGGAAAGAAAGGCCAGCGTGCAACGGTGAAGTCAGGTGGCCACGACCGCCGAGCGGCACCGATTCAGAAAAACGGTGAGTGTGGAAACTCATGCAGGCTGGCGTGGAGTTGCTGGACTGTTGTGAGGGAACCGAAGGGAAAGTAAGCAACGAGGAGCCGTAACCGCTGATCCGACCATTTTAACGCTTCCTTATATCCAATCAGCAGCAACATAGAGGAAAACACTCCAGTACTCGAATGTGGTCGCATCAGAGCTCCGTCAGCTCCACGGAGCTCAGAGCTCGCAGCCGTGAGATGCAGCGAAAACTGTGAGACACCTGACCTGCTACATCCTCTACTGACCCATCTCATCCTCCCATCACTGACCCTTCCCTTCCGTCTCTATACTCACGAGTGCGGGGTGTCCTTTGTGACCGTGTGGGCGGCGGTGGGCGGCGGCGGCAGCAGGCGCGGCAGGGCGGCCACATACGGCCAGCCGTGCCAACGGTACAGCAGCGCCGGGTCCGGCAGGCCGATCGGGTACAGCAGCGCGCCCGGACCGCCGGCCGCCGCCGCCGGCTCCTCCAGCTTGCAGCGCTTCTCGTCCGGCGCCTCGTCGGCAGGCGGCTGTGAACGGAGAGACAGAGAGAGACGGTTAGGGGGTGGTACAGAGACAGAGACGGTCACAGGGGCGGTACAGGGACAGAGGGATGGTCAGAGAGGCGGAGCAGCTACGGGTAGACAGTCAGAGGGGCGATACAAACACTTGAGGACGGCCAGAGGGGCGATACAGAGACAAATCTTACTCTACTGTGCTCATGAATCATTCTTTACTGTGCTTATGTCCTCATGAAATTACGCAGTATTCAGCATCGCGAATACAGTACCTAAACGGCACGGATCTGGGATTTCGCCAGTTATTTAGAGTACCCCTTGCCAAACACGGTTGGCAAAGCCGGGAACAGAAGCGCTCAACATTCTGCACCCTACGGCAAGGTGAAGGAGGACGCTGGAGACTGACTGCGCCAGGCGGGCATCCACTACACACAGCGCGGTACACGAAGGCCACTGCTCGGCCTGCCTGGCCCGGCCCGCGGCCGCGCCCCTAGAGAGGTCACTGGGGGTCTCGGCATCCAGCCCCAACGGCTCCAGAGCAGCACTTGTTTCCACGTGTAGAGCACGGGCCAAAAGGGGGCCATCGAGTCCATAGTAGGGCGAGGGTCGGCGGTTAGATACTCCTCTGCCAAACTGACGGCAGAAGTGGCCAGATAGACAGTTCCTTCTGCTTTTGTCCAAGCAACAGGACGGCAGGTGTGAGCTGAAGGTAAGTACGTGCTCCGTGTACGTGCGCCGCGGGTAACACAGGCGATGGACGACTCGTCACAACGCCGCCGTGTGAGGTCTGGTGCGTCGCGTGGTGGCGCGCAAGGTGCTAAACCCGGCCATCCCCAACCGTCGGCTCGCCCAGCGTATGTGGTTGGTAGACTACCCCCCCCCCCCCCTTCCGCTGGCGGACATGTAGGTATTCAAGAATCAATTAAAGCGCCCGTATCTGCCTACCTAAAAAAGTTTCTCTTTTCCCATTTGTCTCATTCACGAACTGCAATACAGTAAGGTGCAAGCAGACTATCTTGCAGCCTAGACCATTCGAGCCACACACTATCAGGCCGTGTAGCCGAATCGGCCGTCGGCCGGCCCGGTTTGGCCCGGGCCGCCGCCGGTCGTCGGCCCGCGTCGCCATGGCAACGTGATGACGTCAATGCGGTGTGGCCGGCGGCGGCGGGCGCGGCTTGCACGGAGCGCGTCACGGGCGGCGGCGCTCCGTGCCGGCCGTGACGGCGCCGTTACGAGCCCGCCGCCAACGCCGGCAGAGAGCGCCGTCCCACCGCAAGTGCGCCGTAAATATTAGACGGCGGCCGTCCAAAGTCCGCCGGCCAACACGTGAATTGACCGCGACCGAGCGCCGCCGGACGGTGGGCGCGGGTCGGCACGGAGGCGAGCTTGATGTGCACTTGCGGCACACAGGTCCCGAGGGAAGAGGTGTTCAGATGAACGCCAAAGAAAAGCAATGCTTTAGACATTTAACGGTCTGTGATATATGTTACCGCGATATTTACTGTAAGAGTTGTCTCTGATCATCACAGTTCGTCCACACGGCAAATTCAAAGGTCTCAAGAAAAAAGTGAGTATTCCAAGCTTACAAAGTCAGACAAAGCACGGTCTTCTGCACCATCTCGGCCACACCACAGCACGCTCAACAACACCTTCCAGTCTCAGCCCTGACTCCCGACTGACTCAGCCTCTTAATCCCGAACAATGGCCGGGCGTGCCCTCCGCCCCCTCCCCTGCGGCGTCAGTTCACCGACCCCATTCCCCTGCGGTGTCAGGTTCACCGTCGGCGGGCGCGTGACGGCCGCCCGTACCCAGGGCAGCGGCCAGAGCGGCCAGGTCCGGCCAGCCAGCGCCCGCTCCGCTGCGCCACTACATTTCACTACACTCCCCCCCGATCCTGATCGCAACCAACAGACGCTAGTGCTCACATCACACGCTAACAACGCTCACACGTAGGTATCTAAGACATCGCTCGGCACGGGGTCTCCGTACAACTGCGTGACAGGCCGAGCCCGCGTACCTCGCCTCGGCCCAGCCTCTGTGTCACTCGCAGCTTCCTCCTGTTGGTCTTGCTGGTCGTCTCGGTCATGCCGGTCGATGGGACACCGTACAAAGCAGGGCTCCTCATCCCCAGAAACTGGTTGCTCTGCCTCTGCGGAAGCTGGTTGCTCTGCCTCGTCTGCACGCGGACGCAGATGACGGACATGCCTTGGTACACCGTCAACTTCGACAGTTTGCGGTGACACCACACCAGTCACCACTCCCCTGCCATACTGCTCGTCACAGCGTGCTCTCGGTGATTTCACCCAGACAGCATCTCCGACGTGGTAGCGGCTGTCCCGCTGTCCATCGTTCCTCACTGTCGGAACGGGGTCGACGTCTTTCACTCGGACGTCGTACCGATACACCATACCAGCAGGTGTCGTAGCTTCAGTGACATCGTCCTTCGGCGTTGTATTGTACCTGTATACTGCCTCTGCCACCCCACAGTTCGCTCTCGTCGCAATCACCTTTATGGAGCGATGGTTCCTTTCGACGACTCCGTTCCCTGACGGCACATGCGCCGCCCTGTACCGTACTGCGACGTTCCAGTCGTTGGCGAAAGCTCTAAACGCTCTGCTGTGGAAGGTGGTGGCATTGTCCAGCAACATTTCTGCCGGCGGTCCCCGCTCGCAGAATATCGCCGCCAGCTCCGCAATGACGCATGCGGCGGTCTCGTACCGCAGGAGACGCCAGATCGCAAACCTGGATGGGCCGCAATCCACCACCGTTAGGTACAGACACCCATGATGGTGAGTCACGTCGACGGCGACTCTGTCCCACGTGGTGTCGACCTCCAGGCGGCCTTCGCGCCACTTTTCAGGAGCGGGGTCAACAGACCTGCACGTCTGGCAGGCCGACACCACGGCCTGCGCAAGTCGTCTCGTAGCGAGCTTGTTCGCCCTCCTAGCGAAGTATAGCGTCCTCCGGACACCAGGATGACCAGAAGCGTGGTGAATTTGGGTCACCTCTTTCACCAGCCTGTCGGGGTCGTCACCGTCTCCCACAGCGCATGCTGCAGCCTCCTCTTTGCACATAAGCACCCGTTGCCAGGCGTCCGGCACTCTCGTCAGTGCGTCCGCTTTGTTCTCAGCCGACGAGACACACTGAACATTCACGTCCAGCTCGTACTCGTCCACGAGCATCCTGAGGGTGCTTGGCCTTCTTCTTATCAACATTTCAGAGGCAGCTTTCGTCTTCAGTCGGGCCCTGCCACTGAGGAGGTCGGTCATCCAGTGGTACACCGTCCGTGAGTCAGTCATCAACCGGACTTTTTCCGCGCCCCACAGGATGGCCATGTTCACGCCTTTCAGGGCCGCGTCTAGCTCTGCCATGTTGATGTGTTGTACTCCATTGTCGGGGCGAAGCCAGCTCCCGTCTTCCACTACTTCGTCACCCACTTCAACAACTACTCCCATGGCCAGAGCACTGGCATCCGTCCACACTGTGATTCTGTCGCCCTTCACATCCCACCGTCCCCTGGCAGGATCCTCTGCTCTGACCCGCTTCACAATTTCGTCCATTAGACGCTCCACGTCCGGGTCGTCAATCTCGTCGTCCCAGCCACTTGCTGCTCTGTTCGCACGTCGTTTGAGGAGCGAGGTCGCCGGCCGTAGCCAGCCGCACACCGGAAGGTGCCCCGTCAGCTGCCCGCAGAGGGAGAACACTTTCCGCTTTGTCACCGGTCCGGCAGCTTCTCGGACATCGTTGTCTCTCTTCCACATGAGTGCGCCTTGCTCCCCCCAGACTCGGAGGCCGAGAATCCGAGCGCCTTCCTGTGCGCGAGCGGGGTCCTTACACTCGAGACCGAAGGCTTGAAGGTGCTCGGCCACCTTCTCAGCCGACATTACCTCCTCGTTGACCAGAACGTCATCGACATACGACGATACTGCCTTCTCCACATTCTTGTCCTGCTTCGCCACTGTCTCCAGAACTGTCTTCATGACTCGGGGTGCCACATTAAGACCATACCCAAGTCTCGTCAGACAATACCTTTTGTTTTTGAACTCGATTGTCTGATAGGGCCACAGTAACTCCTCCACATGTATCTGAAGGTACGCCTTCTTCAGATCCAGGAGTGCCACTTTCTCACCCGTCCGGCGCCATTCACGAAGTTTCTCACTGCACACGTCAACGTCCGCCGTGAACGTGTCGACGTGAGTGTTCATTTCCCGGAAGTCAAGGACCGGCCGCACTTTCGCCTTGTTCTCTTGAACCACCGCCATTAACGGTATCAACCCTTTGGGAGAGCCATGCTTTTCTTCGTCGTACTCCAGCAGCCACCCGTTCTCGATCCACGTCTCCAGCTCTCTCTCATAGTCCTCTCTCGCTTCATCCGTCACATGGTACTCGCTCACTCCGTTTTTCAGTTGATCTGGCGGTTTCTTTCCCGACCACTTCCACTCGACAGTCCAGCGCCTTTCCCTCGCATCGAACACGACTCGAAAGTCCTCCTTTTCCACCGCTAGATCCACGGAGCCTCCTGCTCCGGCGCACACGTCTCCCTCGCCTGCAAATCGCACATCAGTAGAAGAACGCACGGTCACACCCCCAAGAGCTTTCACACCATCCATTCCTAAAATTGCACCGAAACCCAGCGGCTTCACCGCTACAACCAACGCATCAAGCACCACAGCATCACCCCCAGGTACCCCAACATCGGTTTCAGCCGTGCCCGCACAGTCTAGTCTCTGACCACTAACTGTCACCATGGACACAGAACGCCTCTTCCACTCGGCGCAGAGCGATGAATGAACCACCGTTCTGGTACATCCCGTGTCGATCAACACCTCACACAACACCCCGTTCACATTCAGGTGTCTCGTTGGTAGTGCGCCGCTCCATCTTAATCCCGAGAGGAGGCCGGCACACGATCCTCCTGTCTCTCCGCGTTTTCCGGACACCGAGCTGCGATGTGACCAATCTTGTCGCACCGGAAACACCGGATTTCGCGGGGGCCAGTGCGGGCCGAACAT